TAGTTTGTAGGAGACGAGAGATAAGAGAAAGCAAGAAGTGCGCAAAAATTGAAGTCATTTCATACACAATAGAAAGAAAGCCCACATTATTCTGCAAGAGAGCTGCTCTCACTCACGTCTTCAGTGAAATGGTAGCCTTTCCTGCCGATTTCTAAGCATAATCATTTTATTTTATTTGTATTTTCATTTTTTCCAAAACTCACACGCAAGCAGGCAGAGGATAGCACATACTGCTGTCTGTCTTGCCTAGCATGAAATGAATAAGGCCCTTATTTAAAGAGCCAAGTGTAAAATTCGTCGATTTTCAACCATCCGAAAAATTTTCTTAAGTCTTCTGGATGACTATTGGAAATTTTACGACGAACGAGTAATTCGTTCGATGAAAACAATATTCCGTTTGAACGCCACTCGGTCAATATGCTTAAAACGCAATTTCTGGAGTTACTGCTTGCATTGCATCCGTATAATAAGACAGATTGGATGTCATTGTCTCTCTCAACTTATCATGTTTTCCAGAAAAATAAGGAGGAATAAGTCGCTCGGTCGTCGGGTACAATCACTTGGTAAACAATTAAATTTTATCATTGTCAAATATTTATAAAAAAAAAAAAACAAACAGTGAGATTATTACCCGACAAACGCGTAAAAAAATAACACAGCGTTCTGATTACAATAACTTCAGCATTGATCACGTGTTGAGGTTATTAGCAGCGGCGTTTTTTGACTAAAATATTAGAGGAGACCGAATCTGCGTGAAACGCCACGCTGTGTGGAGATTGTGCTGTATCTTGCCACTTCGCCTTCAATTTTCAAGGTAGGCCAGACAACATCCTCCATGCTGTAATAGTTGTCTATTCGATTCGAAGACTCGCTATCTGCGTTGCTTGCCTCAAGGCGAAAATAATTGTAATGAATTCCGACAAACTGAATCCCATACAATTTTGAAGTTTTCTAAAGACTCATCACCGGTGATTTTTTAAGGTAAATAAATATAATGAAAATAGCATTCACCGATTTATTCGTGACAAAAATTTTATCCTAAATTCCAGACAGGAAACGCTGTTGGTTTTTTTTTTGTGTCGGAGACGTTCTACGGATCAGCCAAAAAACCAATGTAGTGCAAGATATTCACAGAAATCTACTTTGTAGGTGACCGTTGAACATAGGATACTTTGGGTTGAACCGCCAAACCAGCAGGTCAACATTATCAGCATCATTCATTATTTCAAGGAGGCCACATTTTCTTTTCAAGGAAAAAATCGTCTCGCCCCATTTCCGCTATAAAGTTTCTTTACTGAGGTCACGAACTTTAAATTGAGTCGGTGCATGGACCGCTGACACATGATTCTGAAGAGGGTGGTTTCTCATACACAACACATGATCACATTAAGGGGGCCGAGCGTGGGAACCAAGTAGGAACATCCGAACATCCCTTTCGTCGCGTCGACTGCCGAGACACTCCGGAAGGCACAATTACCCCTCTCGCCCCGTCCTACCCTATGGAACACCCCTGATGAGACTTAGACAACAGTTATTTTATAACCTCAGTCGCAAGTTGCACTTTCAATCCCGTTAATTTGAACCCAGCTCTTCTTTTCTTTTCACTTGAGGTTACATGCTAAGTTCATTAAAATCTATTACACATCTATTACAGTCTTTCTACAAGAGCCTGGATGTTTTCTTGCTAAGGACGCGAAGAAATTCCATTACCTTCTTTTCAAAAGAAACAAGTTATATTTTGAAAAAAAAATTCACCACACTTGATGGGCATTACATTATGCACAGTTTTTTAAGCTACAAAGCTCCTGTACATAAAATTTAAATCAAACTTACCTACATCTCATTTTAATCATATTTTAGGGTGACGCGTTTTCTCAGATTACAAACTTTCCTGCCTTTTCAGAGATTTCACACAAAAAATTATTTGACTTTTCAATGTTTTTTTCGCATGATTCCTGCATTCTCTTAAAAAAATATTTTACGAAAATTTTCGGGTAAGAAGTTTTTTAAAATTGAAAAAAATGCAATATTTGATGGAGGCCAACATTCCAAGGTTCCGTGGCAGTATACCCTCACTTTTCAAGAACTTGTCAGACGATGTTTACTGGGAATTTCTATTGAATTTTGAGCATAGGCTTTCTGAGGTTAGTTAGGAGCGTCATCATCTTAGGCTTTCTGAGGTAAGATTCTTAAACACACACAAAAAAAAAAAAAAAATGCTCGCAAAATTCCCTTTTTCCGAGGACCGTCACGTACATGTACATTCCATGCGTCCGTTATAAACGCGTCCAATACGAATGGAGACAATCATGAATTGGACGTATTTATGCGAAAAGGAGATATGTGGAAGTGGAAAGATGGGGTGTGCTCGTTAGTGGTCGGGCCATAAGAATGAATGGGGAATATAAAGCGCCAGTGACGTCAGCGGCGACGATGGAGACTCCGAGCCGCGGATCCGTGTCTTTAACTCATGAGCCCTGTCCACAACGCTCTCTTCCCATGCCCGCGGCTCATGAGTTAGCATATTTTGGCGCTTAGCTCCTTTTGATTTAATTAAAAATCCCGCTTTTCAATTTTCTCAAAAGGAGCTATATCCACTTTTACATTGTTTCTTATGGCCCAACTAACGAGCACACCCCATCTTTCCACTTGCACATATCTCCTTTTCGCATAAATACGTCCAAATTGCGAACAAAATTGTCTTAAAATCTTGGGGGAAAATATTCATTATTTTCCCAGTAAATTTGACTTTTATTGAAGGATATATGGCAACATCTGAGGGCTCACACGGCATATTTTCTTAATAGACCGAACACGGTATCTTCTTAACTTCCGAACATCAGACGGGGCTACTAAACTCCAAACGACTTGCAGCGACCCTCGCAGCTCGCTAAACGCTGTCAACCCCTCGCGGCGTCTCAACAGTCAACAATCACCGCCGTCATCGGACGGTGCTCGAAAAACGGGATCCCTTCAGTTATCTCCACAGTCCCTTCGAGACAGCTCGGCAACCCTGGGCAATAATTTTTCTTCAATACTGCTCTGCGCGCGACGCGGCATTGACACCCCTTATTTCGGAGGAACCATGTAGAATGCAAATCGAATTAAAACTGCCCCCATCCGAGGGGTGCAACGAAAACATCGAGCGAGAAGCGTGTTTTTGTTGGTGATTGATAGATGCCCGGTTTTGACGATCGGCTGCCTCGAGGAATCGAAATTCATTGACGAAAGAATAATTACCACCGAAAAGTGTAATTGGACTAAGGTGGCACGGAATGGCTCCGCGTTTCTTTTTTTTTTTTTTTGGAAACGTTTGAGTGATCTCGATTAATTTTTACGCTTAAACGAGTTCTTATTTGATGCACCGAATGCTCGAACAATCGAGGACGAAGTAATTGAATCAATGATCGTGATTAAAAACTACCGAAAATCGATTACCAATCGATGACTGTCCAATCATCGGGATATCATCGGTAAAAGTCTCAGAACAGGATGCGACATTTCAAAATCTCACCTAGCTGCTGTTCCATATTTTTTCTTTTAACTGTCTTTTCCTTGTTTCTTCTTTTTTTCTCCCCCCCCCCCCCCCGGAACACCCACTGAACAATATTGGCCGATATTTTCGAGGAAAATTTTGCATAGGCTAAAGATTTAACTGGAAAAAACTCTAAAAAAATTCGTTGGTTTTCGTTTGAAAAAATGAAAATTGACAAGGAATCTGAGACGTCACAAATCGAAAAATCGTAATTCACGACTTTCACCGCTGACATATGTATAAAAGCATCTGAAAGGTGTAGTGTTTTATTACAAGCCATTGAATGACCCCCAAATTGAAAAGGGGATGAAATACGAACTCCTAAAGTTCATGTTGATGCCGGCACGACAGACATTGGAAAAACTGAGAAGAGGCTGAATCGGTCAAAAGATTGTGTTACTTGTTCTACTTCCTGTATTGACCTAATGGACCAACTTATCGATGCAATAGGAAAAGGGTAACGTCTAAATGCAACTGCGCTACACTTGAGTACCGACAAACATGGGCTATTGGGCTCATCAAAAGAGACGACGAAAAATTACCGGATAGGTCAAATTTTGACTTCAGCCGCCAGAGGACTTTGCAAGATAAAAGGAAGTTCCATGTACGGGCATCATCAAAACATGCGATGTCCAAATATAGCATGAGAGCATCGTCTGGCAAATGGAATAAGCCGCGCACTCATATCAGCCGGCCAAACTGAACGATTCAAGAACAGTGGAACGAGAATGCAATTGTGTGGTATTGTGGGCTCGTTAGTGCCAAATCTCACCCTATCACACCGTAAGAATTATAATTCATCATTGAAACTCATTACTCTCTTCACTGTACAGAGGCAGGGTAACTTAAGAGCATTGAATCCCAAATCAACTTGAGGCTTAATTTGATTGCGTGACCAGCGTAGAAGTTTTGCGAGATTGAGAACTTCAAGATTTTTCAAATTTCGATTTTTTTCATAACTTCAACTCCCTCATTTTATCCTGATTTCCATTAACTCGCTGGGAAAAAAAGTATCTTTGATCTAGAGTCCATGTTCTTAAACAATTTGACAAGAAAAAACACTCTTAATTCAATCGGATTTCCGTTGGAATCGAGAGCCAAGTCTCTTAATTTGAGCGAATTTTCTTTTGATTCAAGCATAACTCCGACTGGATCAAGAGTATGTTTTCTTGTCACATTTTTCAAGAGCCTGGATTCTAGATCCAAGAGACTTTTTTTTTCAATGCTGGTGATTCCTGACAATTTCCGGTTTCTAAACCTGTAAATACCTTGTAATAGCAGTCAACAGATACAGATAGAACCGTGTGCACCCCGTGTGGTATTTACAGAACTTGAGTTCGATTGAATTATGCATTCGTGGTGTTTCCTATTACATCTATTTAACGTGACAGGAGAATAACGTGTATCATGCAATAGTCAGGTTCGTGACGAGGGTCACGAGACTTGAGAATTTTGAGAAAACTTACGGAGAGAAAAAACCAAGGTTGCACTTGGTTTACAGAGGGTTGGGAAATTACCTGCAACAGAAAAAAACGAAATGTATGAGTATCGTGCCGTGATAGTTTTATTACTAACATGCACTGTTGAAAATCTGGAGGTTAGATACAGAGACGGATTTTATAGTCATGAAAGGTGCTAGTTGGATCAATTCCAGGTATTTCCTACCACAGAACGAGATATACTCCACCTTGCAGTGTATTTTACCCTGAATATATCTCCATTGCACCTTTTCATTAAGCATTGTTGGATTTCCACAACTCGATGGTGAAACTTCGGAAATGCGTACCTCGCTTTGTGGTACTGGTTGCAGACTTTCTGTCATACTATATTATCTACATGGAAAACTACTGAGCGTCATTTTGTGAAAATTCCAGTTTTTTTTTTTCTCTCCGTGAAAAATATTCTATGAAAACTCCAAGCCATGATGTTGGTTCGGTCTCCTTTGGAAAAATGAAATAGGAGGGGAGATTTTGAAACACCGCAACCAAGATAAGTGCTCATTTTTGCAGTTTCACCGTCAAACTGTCTCTAGAAAGCAACAAAGTTTTTAGAGTGAACATTCGTACTAACCGGAACTTTACACCACACTTGAAGGGGCTTCTCTTGTCCACCAGGTACACGGGAAAAAAACTTCGTGCGTGGGACCCGAAGTTGAGGTCATATGGATCTCTGAAGTTTTCCGATCACGTATCTAAAAACTAGAGCTGCCGAAGTTCGGGTCAGATATCTGAAGTACTCCGATACACACCGAAGTGCCTCGATGTCTGACCCGAACTTCGGCAGCTCGACCTCAAGTTTCCGGATGCGTGATCAGAAAACTTCAGATATCCATAAGACCTCAACTTCGGGTCCCATGCACGAAGTTCAACACTTATCGATGAGTCCAAACCGCACCACCGACCAATCAGAAGCGCTAAGCCAGACTTAAGTGCGGTCTAAAGTCCCTTTAAGAGAGAGTTGCGACAACACGGCTTGTGGATGTCACAAACGGGAATAAAGAGTACACAAATCTGACGTTTTTTGTAATCTTTGATGAACCCATTCCAGAATCCCTGTCTCCGTTCCCTCTCTCATTCCATTTGTTCCTCGCCGTATCCCCAATTCCTCGTCGATTCCAGTTTATAATCTAAGTTAATGAGGCCTACAATACGGGAACCAATCAGAAATGGATTCGCATTGTCTTTACTCTCAGTACAAAGCGACTCTAGTGCGGTCGAGACTCGTCCGTAAAATATTTCAGTACGGTGGGAGGACCGACAAAATTCGGCCCCAGTTCATTTAAGTCCACTAATGCCCATAGTTGTCCATTCGATGGCGTTTTCTGGATCCTACGGATTTCCACGTCTCCAGGACTTTCTCTGTGAAGGCACTGGCGTCCCACTCGGGATGCGGGAGAGATGAAGTCGCTTGGACGTCGCAGCGTTGGCGTCGCGGTCGCTGTGCCCGGGTCGCCGAGGTTCGAGGTTCTGCGGTCGGTGTTCCGCTAAACGGGTTTCTTTTCACGGGCGGTGGCGACGGCCGGCGATGCCACCGCCGCGCCGCACAGTGGAGCGAGCCAATCAGAGAGGTCGCTCAAAATTTGGAAGCATTAAAAGCTTACAACTCCTTTTATACAATGCTGCCAATTTATTTCATCAAAAGATTCCGAAAAAATTCCGATTTCCGGAAAAACATTACGTTTTGCCGAAGAAAAATTCCGGGGAAATATTCCGAAATACGCCCGGATCTAGTTCCGATGATCGTGAAATTTGATCAAAAAGTCCCTAAATTGGATCAAATAAATGGACTACATTTTGCAATTTGGACCTATAAATTCCGGCCCAGTTTTTAAACAACGTATGTGCCATTAGTTTCCCTATGCACATACGTGTTTTTTCAGATGAGCCAGAATTTATAGGTCCAAATTGCAAAATGCAGTCCAAATGGTCAAACTGGCGAAAAATAACCTAACCTAACCTAAAAATTCCGGGGAAATATTCCGAAATACGCCCGGATCTAGTTCCGAAGATCGTCAAATTTGATAAAAAAAAAAGTCCCTAAATTTGATCAAATAAATGGTCAAACTGGCGAAACACCGCAAATTTTGAGGCAATTACGGGGATTCAGAGGATTTCGGGAAAAGTTCCGAATTTCGGAAGTAATTCCGGGAAATGGCAGCACCGCGTCCATACAAAACATCGAGGTTTTAAAAATGGTTCCACTCGTTTCCTTGTGAAATATTATACCAGAGGCACCCCTTAATATTTAAAATGTAACGACATAAACATAAAAATTCGCAGTTTCACTCGCAAATTTCAAGTCGGATCTTTCTGACTGACTCGGGCCATTGTGCGGGATGGCACCGCGCGGCGAGGCGGCAGGACAAAGCAAGCGCCAGCGCCAATGTTTCCGGACGGGGCCGAGCGGGGCGGAGAAGAAAGTTATTTATTATGACTTGACCACTCGAAAAAGTGAAACCGAACGCCTTCGCACTCCGTTCCGTTTTGTGCAACAGCCCTCCCTCACTCCTCCGTCCCCCCTCGCTTCACCCCCCTGGACGAGTCCCCCACTCGTCGTTCCCGAGTGTCTCGGCGAAAATAATTCATCCGTGTGTAAACTTTCGAAAATGGGTCAGTCTCCCGACCCGTCCGATGGGCCGACTGCCGTTTTATATTACTGAGGAGAGCAGAATGTGCAAAAAAGAAGTTAGAGGAAAATGCTGCCGTGCTAGGGAAGAACGCCGTATGAGCCATCAGATGTTGCCAAAAATTCCCTCGACAAATCACGAGTTTCCAGAAAAATTTAGGAATATTTATCCTCTCATTTTTCGGAGGATTTTGTTCGTAACTAGATCTAAAACGTCTGAAAATTTCAAGGAAAAATATTCATAACTTTCTTCAAAAATGTATTGTTTCTGCGCGTAAATTTGGCAACATTCGAATGTTCATACGGCGTTTTTCCCTAGCACGGCGGAATGGACGTTTAGATGGACCGCGTTAAACAGAAAGGAACCAAGCCACATCAGCTTTTGCCAAATTTAACAGGGAAATTTCATTTTTTAACGAGAGACCGTCTGTGCAAATTCCTTTGAAAATTTTAAGAAATTTGCCTTGTATTATGGAGAAAATTCACTGAAATTAGCACATAAATTCGCACAACCGTTTTCATGTAAAAAATTAAATGGCCCGATTAAATTTGGCAATGGCTGATGTGGCTTGGTTCCTTTATGTTTAACGCGGTCCAGATGTGCAAGGAGCAATACTGCCTATCCGTAAACTGACGATTTTGCAGGACAAATTTTTACTAGGGAGACAAATTTTGCTATTTCAGCTGAAGTAGCACGGAAAAAAGTGTTAGGGGTTATTCCCTAAAATTATGGTACAACCCCAATTTCTTGGATGATAAGGACAATTTAAAATGATTTTGGTAGTATCGCAACTCCAAGTTGAGGTAGTACCGCAACCTTTGTGTTAGTAACCTAATTAATTGGAGCACTACCACAAAGAATCCCTGCCTCTCTTTTTCTGTGAGTCATAGTGCACTTAAATGAGATCAGTCGCGTTTTGAAGGACACCCGATTTCAAAATGGTTTCAAAACGATCAACTTCAACAAGGTTCATGAGCTGAAGTGCACCAGCACCGATCTCCTCGTCGTTGCACATCTGAGTCATCACCGCTGACGACACTGGCATTCATTCTTACGGCCCTTAACTAACGAGCAGACTCCTTCTTCCCCACCTGTCTCTGATTTCTTTTAAAATACTTATAAATAGTAAATAAATACGTCCAAATATGTGACAAAGAGCATTCAATTGGGCCAGGCAGTCGACCGTCTTATAAGAGGTATTTTTTAACGAGGAACTTGAATCTTAACTCAAATTTTTACAATTCAAAAATCCAAAATGGCAGAAATTGCCAAAAATGTTATCTTGAGATTTCTATTTCTGCCATTTTGGATTTTTGAATTGTAAAAATTTGAGTTAAGATTCAAGTTCCTCGTTAAAAAATACCCCCTGACACCATGACGGTGACAGTCAAGTTTCATACGTTAGTGCGCCTTCAATTACATTTGAAACCGTGCAATACTTTCATGGTGGAATAGTTGCATTGGCGCCTTCAAACCTAACAGGGATACTACATGCATTGCGCAATGAGTGAAGTATCCCTGTTAGGTTTGTAGGTGCCAATGCAACTATTCCACCAAGAAAGTATTGCACAGTATCAAATGTAATTGAAGGTGCATTAACGTGTGAAAATTGACTATTACCGTCAACCACTGTTTGCCAAGTGGTAACTTCACGCCGACTAAAACATTTTACAGGGTCCAAATTTTCAAAAAAGATACTCATGATATAATCACCGTGTTTTAGCGCACTTTTTCGATGGCTCCTGAGTTTTTTTTTAGGTCTAGAGAGATGATATTAAAATAAGTCGAAGTTCACGATTTTGCTCAGAAAAATGGCAACGTCTCAGCGTATCAAAATTATCAGAAGGGGAGCATTGGGAGCATCTAAGCTACTAATTTCAAACTCTGATTACAATTTAGGCATCTGTAAAGTTAATTTATCGAGAGGGAAAAATCATCAAAAACAGTAAAAAATTCGTTATTTTCATGCATGAAAATGGCAACCGCGCGTAGGGTCAAAAGCATGGAGGGGGACCAAAAACCAAAACTTCACTAGGGTGTAGTTTATGAACTAATTTTGCCCTCTGTATATGACCCCAAATTTCATTTTCCGTGTTTTTGAACATGCTGTAACCGATTTAGGGGGTTACAGCTATAAATTTCCGAAATTCATTTTTTGTGGGCTACCCTAATGGAGAGTTTGTCTTGATGTAGACGTGGGCTCTCAGGATAGCGTGTGATATCCCCTCCATTTTGGCCTCATCTTGAGAGCTTTTTTTGAGCTTGGGAGTTGATTTCAGAGAAAACCAGTAGCACCATCGTGTTTCTCGTGAACTTTTACATGAGAATCAATGGCCAAATCGCAAATTCCTCACACATGCAACATCTCCATTTTCTAGTTCAGCGATCTTC